ATCTGTACTGCTGAAATTCATGAGAAAAAGGTTAATATATGTTTTTAAAAGTAATATGCCTAATATAATAGTTTCTCCAACTTTCTGACCTCAATGAAACATTCATAAAATCTTTGCTTATTTAAGCTTCATTTCAGCCCAGATCAATCTCCATCCATTTCATCTCTCTGGGAAGGGAAGCAGGAGAACGCAGGAGAAAACAGGTAGAAAACAGTTTTGTCAGGCAGTGGCAATGACTTCTGGGTTTCTGGTTTTGCATTTGGAGGCTGTTTTCTATCATGTGAAAGAGCAACTCTGCCTTCTAGGATAAGGTACTGTGGGTGCTGCAAATCAGAGGTATAGTAGACACATGTCCTCCAGCACCATGTTTACAAACCACCAGCAGGACAGAAGACACAAATTACAGCAAAGAGCAGTTACATTCCAGGAAAAAAGTCTGCAAGTGACCTGGTGAACAGGGTAGAAGAGGTCACCAGAAGCCACCTCTGCCAAGAATTTTTAGATGTTTGCTGCCCATTAGAGAATCCATGTTAAAAGGTTTGCAGTAGGACCTAGGAATTGACATGTCTGAAAATATTATACAACAAAAGTTTTACTAACCTTTCAGAGAAGAATGAGACCAATTATCCCTGCCTGCCACTCTCATTTCTCTTTTAGAACGTGCAGCTTTGAAGCACTGAAAATAAAATAAGCAAACATGTTGGCCTATAATACGAAGGTGACCATACCAATTAGGGGTATTTGTGTAAATAATCTGAAGATCATTAATTCCTAGTCTGCTGAGGTTTACACACACACACAATAGTTTTCATTTGTGATTCTTCACTACATTTTAGTAGGGAAGCATCCACCCCTAAATTATGTTAGCTTGGGGAATAATGGCAAAGTCCATTCCCAACTCCAGCAGTAGTAAAATCCAATTCCTCTTCTAAAAAGAGGGAATATGTAAATATTTGAGGTGAAAGCCAGAATCCAAATTACTGCAAATACGTAGGTGAGAATGAGTACATTTTCTCCTCTGGACAACTAATTATTTAGGGAGATCTCCTTCCCCGCAAGTATTTTAAAGCTCGAGTTTCTAGGGGGAAAGAAACAAGCATGGAGTGTGTGTCCACTGTGCCTCAACACACTACTCAGTTATCCGTGTAGCCTTCACAATAGTCCTGCAAGAGCTGGTTGCCTTAACCTCTTTTTATAGGTGAAGAAACTTAGGCTCAGAGATGCTGGAACATTCCAGACCACACAGCTGGGGGCAGAGGAGGAAGGTCTGAATTCTAGGCCGAAACACCTTCCACTGGGCAGTGTTTCCCAGACAAGAATCACCTGGGAGTACTTAGGGAAAATGCAAAATCCAGGCTCACAGAGTCAGTCTTCAAAGGAAGGGGCCTAGGAACGTGTATTTTTTTAAGAAGCCGCGCTCCCTCCGCCCACTTTGTCAACAGGAGAGCTTGGAAAAGACAGTGCTTCATTACCCAGTCAGGAGACCAGAACCTATGCCATCCCTACATTTGTGGCTGCTTTACAGAGACCTGCAACGCCCTCAAGAAAAAAAAAATCCACATTTCTCCGATCAAACCATCACCTCTCCTAAGGCCCCCCAGAAATCCAGACCTTGGAACCTTCTTCTGCCCCTTCGTCTCTGAATCCTGCCAATTTTTTTCTTTCCTATAGAATTTCATTTCCTGGCTAGGACAAGGTTCTAACCACCAGACTTCCAGACGGTCCCCGGAACTCGCTACCGGCCTTCAGCCTGTCTGGCTCCTTCCCTAGCCCCTCGGCTGGGGCTGTTCTCATCCCAACCCTGCCTCTTCCGTCGGTCACGTTGTTTCCTCCGCTTGGAAGGACCTCTTTCCTCTCCGGGCCCTTCCCAGTGCTCGGGGAACTCCTACACCGCCTGAGCGCCTCTGCTTCCAGCCACCCTCGCCTCCCACCACCCCGGCTCGGGGACTGAACCCGGCCTCGCAGCCTAGCAGCAAGCGTCGATCGTCACAGCCGCAGCCCCTGCCCCCCTCCGCTCGCCTCCCCACCCGCCACCTGGCTTCGCAGCGGCCGCTCGGGAAGCCCTCGGCACTTCCCAGAATAGAGAGCAGCTGCCAACGTCAGGCTACCGCCGGTCGTGGGGTTCCGGGCGCACAGGGTGCGGGCGGAGGGGACGTGGCTCCTCTCTGGCCTTCCGTCTCCTCTGACGGGCCGGGAAACTGAGGCCCAGGGCCGGAACAACTTCCCCGGGGTACATGGTCCGGTAGGGCCCGGCCAGTCACCGGCCCCAAGCGTCCCGACTCCCGTCCGCGCTCCCTCGACCACACGCGCCGACCGGTTGCCCCGGAGAGCGGGGCGGGGAGCGGGTCTCGGAGCGTGCGCTGC